GCGTGTGTGTGTGTGTATGTGTAACACATGATTACAGTTAAAAATTAATAAATGTATTGCAATTCATATCTTATATCATACTTCAAGTTTTACAATAAAAAAATTTTACAATAAAAAAAGAAATAAAATAATAATTAATCAAGAAGCAAATACAACTAACTTGCAAATAAATACACATCTAATAAATTTTTTCTAAGATCCTGAAAAAAATTTTGTAATAAAATTTTATTCTATACACATTTAATATGTATTAAAAATGTATTAAAAATATACAAAATTATAAGATAAAACTCACCTAATGTACATAAATCCTAAGGCGCGTATATAGGGCGAGTCTGGATGATTAATAAGCCCATTCAATTGTTTCCTAGTCAGCCTCAGCGTGAAGAGTTTATACAGTAAGCAATACGCCGTTGAAACAATTCCGCCAGCTCCCACACCTCGCACCTGCATGAACCGCTAAATTTACACCCCCCTCAGTCAGTTATATCACATTCGTGTTATCATACAATATATCAACCGAATACATGCTACTCTGCAATTAAGTGGTGCGGTTAACATTTTGCATCCGACGATAGTAATAGTACCTTCCAAATCGTTCGATTATTGGCAATACTACTATCGTATAAACTTCACAATTTTATGAAAAATTTGTTGCACTGATCATTTTTGTAGCTCAGCTTATAGCTAGTTTTCGCAAAATTAAGTGATTTTTCCTGTGTCATCTTGTAACAAACATTTAGAATTCCTATTTCTATTTCATATTACACAATCGCGTTATAATTTAACTTCTAATATATAGAGGAACAAAGATAATTTTTTCCGAACATTTAAGAGCCCATTAGCATAGGAGCAGTCTAGACATTTAAATACTGGTTTAAATGCATTAAATAAAAGAAAGAACGAGAGCTCAAAAATTTTAAAAACTATCTTACAATAATCAAATTTTTCATAATGCATCAAACATATCGCCACATTGAAATCAATGTCAATCACCTTTCATCTCATTACTTTCATCTTAATTTAGTCATAGATTACTGGACTAGTACAATATATGATTGATTTTCTGTGTAAGCAAGTACGTCTATGCAATGTGTCTCATAAGCCTTAGACTTTTAACAAATGCATTAATAAAAGAGAAAGAAAAAGAAATTCAATGTTCTTTGAGAAAACATACTCACGCCTCCACACATGCCAGTTTGGCCCGCAGTCTTTCTGCTACCCTTTTCCCATGGTTCAAGGTGAGAGACCTTGTAATAGATCTCATCAATCACTTCGTGATAAGTTTTGAGCTCATAAAGATTCACTTTAAAATAATGTGACGACTGTATATTTGTAAGAATCAAAGGATTCAAATTCATAGTCCTTTCATTGCCCCATAATGGCAACACATTTGACTTTTTACCCTCTTTTTGTGCTGGCCTACGTTCTTCATCGCATCCACTTGAGTTATTCCATGGAGATCCTAAGATAAGAAAACTCAGTATATCTCAATGAAATACAACGATCAAGACTTTATGTCCGCATAAATGAATACGTACAAACACCAAAAAGAATAGTTCTATTAACTGACAAATTTTAGAAAACTAATGTTTCATTTTTATCTTATTTTATGCGCATCTGTTCGTCAAGTTCACAAACATTCGTTTGTAAAAAAATCAAATATTGTCAACAAATAATTAAAATTTAAAATTAATTTTAGCATGACGTAAAGCAATAGTCAAAACGATACGCAAAGCGAGGTTATGTCATCCGAGATCCAAGGATCAACGGCCTTGTTATGAAGGATAGGATATATACAATAATCGAAATTGAAAGTCCTTGACAACATAGAACGCCTGTTTACCCACCATCCGCACCTTCGGCCTCTTGCACTTGCATTTTCAAGCGATTTGTTAAGGAGACTCGCGTGGAGTCTACACATCGGTCAGATAGAGGAAGATCGAACGAATCCGTTCAGTTTCAAAACTGCTTCCTCTGATGAACTCACGAAGAAGATTTTCGATGCGACAGTCTCTCGGAGTATCGCGAAAACTAAACGGTGTAACTTTTATCAGGAACAAAAAGAAAGCGAGAAGTTGCAATACTCTATTACGTATGATGGAATGTGGACAAACGTACACATCCGGTTGTACAATGAAGATTGCGCACGCGCGCGCAATATCATTCTAAGTACGTTACCAAATTTAAAGATTTGAAATTTCTATCATACCACTACCACTATCTGCCACTATCTAGAAATTCTCTAGACTATAACCAATCGCATATTATGTTAAACGTCAATTTCTTACACATGGGATATCAGCCTTATTGAAAAGTTACACAAATATGACTGCATAGATCCAAGTGTTTTCTGAATTAAGGACGTATTTTTTCTCTCTTCTCAATCTTCGCACATATTTAATAAATCATATTCGTTCAATAAAATAACAATACACAAGTGAGAATTAATTTATATATATATATATATATATATATATATATTAACTAAGTTGTCTAGAA